ACCCCCTCCCCTCCCGCAGCTGGGCCGGACGCCCGTTCCGCCCTGTGGTTCCGGGCCGGGCTGAGCATCCCAGCGCAGAATCCATCCACGATCCACAGGGAGGAGGGAGGAAGGACAATTTCCAGAAGATGTTGACTGTCCGAGGCCTCGCCGGGACCCTCTGGCATCGCAGTTCCCGCGCCCGTGCCCGGGGTCCCCCCTTTCTCTCCCCGTAACCGGAAGGCGGTGAGTCATGGCATCTGACGTCGCTGGCACGTCCCCTGCAGGAGCCCGTGTGCCGACTGCCCTTTGCGGGGAGGAGGGGGGACATGTTTATATTTATGTCTCGTTTACGTTACGCCCCTGAGGGTTGTGGTTTCCGGGCAAAGAAGTCAGTTCCGCTTGACGAAAACATGGAAAATCCGATTGTTCCATCCGTGACGAACCCCGGCTCTTGTGAGAGCTGCTGCCGAAGGCCAGTGAGCTGTTCGGCCCCCCCATGAGGGTGCCCTTCCCGCGAGAAACGCCGGGCCTCCAGCTCCCTGCCTCGGCGGCTTCTCTGGCATCTCTGCCCGTCTTTTATGTTAATAAATAAGGAGTCAGCCCGGCCGGCGTGGCTCAGTGGTTGAGCATCGGCCTATGAACCAAACCAGGAAGTCAGGGTTCGATTCCCGGTCAGGGCACAGGCCTGGGTTGTGGGCTTGATCCCCAGTGTGGGGCGTGCAGGAGGCAGCCAATCCGTGATTCTCTCTCATCATTGATGCTTCTCTCTCTCTCCCTTCCTCTCTGAAATCAATAAAAATATCCTCCTATATAATAAAAGCCTAATATGCAAATTGACCGAACAGCAGAATGGCCAGTCGCTATGACATGCACTGACCACCAGGGGGCAGACGCTCAATGCAGAAGCTGCCCCAGCCCATAGGCCCCAACCGGTGGCAGCAGCGGGAGGCAGGGCTGGCGAGTGGGCAGCGCCTGGCCAGCCCAGGCGGGTGCCAGTGGGGGCCATCCAATCGCCCTGCTGGTCACCCCACAGATCGGCCCTGATTGCTGGCCAGGCTTAGGGACCCTACCCGTGCACTGATTCCGTGCACCGGGCCTGTCCTATATAATAAAAGGGTAATATGCAAATTGACCGAACAGCCGAACAACCGGAACACCCGTGGCCCCTCGCCCCGGCTGGCCCGCTCCTCAGGGCCCCCATTGGGTGGGCCGGCTGGAGCCCACCAGTGCACGAATTTGTGCACCAGACCTCTAGTGTGTATATATACAAAACAAAAACACGCTTCCCTCCTTTCATATATTTCGGGGCAATGCACATGGACTCAGACATCCCAGGGCACGGTGGGGGAGGCGGCTCAGTGAGGTCTTAGCTCTGCACGGGGAAGACCGGCCCACGAGCCTTGCTGAGCCGCTGCCTGGGGAGGCAATGAGCTCACGGCTGCAGCAGACATGCTGGGGGGGGCGTCAGAAAAGGGGGCGTCTCCGATCTCCGGGCACCAGGATTACGGGAAGCGGAGAACTCGGGGGCCAAGGGGCAGCCCCAGGGGGACCCGGACAGCGGACGCAGCAGGAAGAGGATGGGCTTTGATGTCAGCGCTGAGCGAAGGTCCAGTCCCGGCTCCGTGGCTTCCTAGCCACTTACGTGGTTGCGTCAGTCGGGGCGCAATAGCTCCCCCATCTGTCACGTGCAGAGCAGGGTCCTGGCCCCGTCGAGGTGCTGTGAGGGATGAATGATGAGCACGTTTAGCCTCAACGCCTGGTACCTGTTCAATTTATGTTTTATTTGTTAAATATATTTTATTGATTTTTTACAGAGAGGAAGGGAGAGGGATAGAGAGTTAGAAACATGGATGAGAGAGAAACATCGATCAGCTGCCTCCTGCACACCTCCCACTGGGGATGTGCCCGCAACCAAGGTACATGCCCTTGACCGGAATCGAACCCGGGACCCTTCAGTCCGCAGGCCGACGCTCTATCCACTGGGCCAAACCGGTTAAGGCTGGTACCTGTTCGATTTATTACAAGAAACCTTGGGCCCAGGCCGGGGAGGTGAGTTGGTTACAGCATCGTCCGGATTGGCCAACGTTGCAGGTTCGATCCCTGGTCAGGACACATACAAGAATCAACCAATGGCCCTGACCGGTGTGGCTCAGTGGATAGAGCGTCGGCCTGTGGACTGAAGGGTCCTGGGTTCGATTCCAGTCAAGGGCATGTACCTTGGTTGTGGGCACATCCCCAGTAGGGGGCGTGCAGGAGGCAGCTGATGGATGTTTCTCTCTCATCAATGTTTCTAACTCTCTGTCCCTCTCCCTTCCTCTCTGTAAAAAATCAATAAAATATATTTTTAGAAAAAAAAAAGAAAAAAGAATCAATCAATGAATGCATAAATCGGTGCAACAAATCAAAGTTTCTCGCCCTGGCTGGTGTGGCTGAGTGGATAGAGCGTCGGCCGGCAGACTGAAGGGTCCCGGGTTCGATTCCAGGCAAGGGCACATACCTCGGTTGCAGATCACCTGGTCGGGGCGCGTGCAGGAGGCAACCCATCGATGTGTCTCTCTCTCTCTGTCTCTCCCCGCCCCTTCCACTCTCTCTAAAAATCAATGGAGCCGGGCCAGCGTGGCTCAGTGGTTGAGAGTCGACCTATGAACCAGGAGGTCACGGTTAGATTCCTGGTCAAGGGCACATGCCCGGGTTGCGGGCTCTCTCATCGTTGATGTTTCCATCTCTCTCCCTCTCTGAAATTAATAAATATATATATATATTTTTTTAAATACGTAAATATCAATGGAAAATGTCCTTGGGTGAGGATTAAAAAAATAAAATAAAATAAAAAAATCTTTCTGGACACGGTGACTCCCAAACTGGGTACAAAAATCTCTCTTTCGCTCGTTTTCAAAAAACTCCCTCCGTTTCAAAGCCATTTGAGGGCAAGGGACAGCGGAAACGAAGAATAAATAAAAGTTTTCCCGGACGGAGCACCAGCCCGAGCAGGAGGTGGCGACGGGCCCGTGTGCGTGTGCGTGTGCATGTGTGTGCGTGTGCGTGTGTGTGTGTCCTGCTGGGGCAGTGACATCACCGTGCACCTCACTGGAAAGTCTGCCTCCATCGGGGGCCGGGTCGCTCCCCACGACTCATCTTGGCCCAGCAGATGCCAAGATGGCAAATCATACGGCACAGAGGACGCGTGCGGGCTTCGGGAATCAAACCTCACAGTCATTTGGGGTTTTTTTTTGGTTTTTGTTTTGTTTTCCCCCCAGACGTTTGCCAGAACGGCTCATCCAGAAACCGTCTGGCGGACACACAGATGTTGGCGGTGAGTCAGGGATCCCAGCTGCCGTCACAGCTGCCCTTTTCTGGGAGCTTCTGAAGTTCGGGGCTCGGTGAAGCTACACGACCCCCCTCTGGGGAGGGAGGTGTTGGGGTTAATCCTCACCTGAGGATAGATTTTTCTATCGCTTTTCAGAGACCGAGAGGAAGGGAGGGAGGGGGAGAGAGAGAGAGAGAGAGAGAGAGAGAGAGAGAGAAACATCAATGATGAGAGAGAATCACAGATCAGCTGCCTCCTGCACGCCCCCCACTGGGGATGGAGCCCGACACCCGGGCCTGTGCCCTGACCGGAATCGAGCCGTGACCTCCTGGTTCATAGGCGGACGCTCAGCCACGGAGCCACGCCGGCCGGGCTGAGCCGGGGTTTGACAAGCACAGCCCTCGGGACGGAAGGAGACTGAAGCCGTCCGGGTGGGTGGCTGGGGGGGCTGAACCACGGTCCCCACAGGGGTGCCCCCTGTCACCCCCCGGAACCCGTGACCGTGTTACTCACCTTCACGAAAAACGGCACTGGCAGGTGTGATTCAGGATCCTGAGACGGGGTGTCCCCTGGGCCATCTCAGTGGCCGGATGGAACCACAGACCCTACAACAGGGAGGAGGGAGGTCGGGGTCAGTGTAGCAGCCAACGGGACGTGGAGACAAGACCAGGAAGGATGCGAGGGCGGGGCCAGGAGCCGAGCGTGCAGGAGGCAGCCGATCAACGTTTCTCTCTCTCTTCCTCTTTCTAAAAAAAGTCAATAAAATATCTTTTAAAAAGGTGTAGCCCGGCCAGGGTGGCTCAGTGGTTGAGCGTCCTTGACCTATGAACCAGGAGGTCAGGGTTCGATTCCCGATCAGGGCACAGGCTCGGGTTGCGGGCTTGATCCCCAGTGGGGGGCGTGCAGGAGGCAGCCGGTCCGTGATTCTCTCTCATCATTGATGTTCCTATCTCTCCCTCTCCCTTCCTCTCTGAAATGATAAAAAAAAAGTATATATAAAAGTATATATATATTATCTATACTAATAAAAGGGTAACATGCTAATTAGACCAGGAGACTTTCCAGACAAAGCCATGGTGGTGGGGCTGAGGCAGAGGTGGTTAGGGGCAATCAGGCCAGGAGGGGAGGGCAGTTGGGGGCGATCAGGCCAGGAGGGGGCAGTTGGGGGCGAGCATGCTGGCGGGGGGGCAGTTGGGGGTGAGCAGGCCGGCAGGG